ATTTCTTCCCTTGGAATAATGTCCCGGGTAGTTTCTTGGGGCTGCCAGCTCAATGTGATTTTAATAGCTTGTTTATGCCTGATTTTTAAAAACTGGAAAAATTTTAATGAATTTATTTTCCTGATCTTCGTAATTAGATTGAAAGTTAAGTTGAAGTTAATGTAATTAAATTGTCTTAATGAATTTGGAAACCAACTAGCTCTGACTGAATTACGTGTTTTAAAAATGTTTTGCATCAGAATTTCTACATTGTCATCCACATAAGAATACTGTGTTAACACAACGATTAGAATTTTATTCCAAATTGGAGGGAATTTATTATAATCCTGCTAATCAAAAATAAGCTGGAAATAACCTAAGAATCATTGTATACTATAGCATTAATTCAGATTAAGTTTGAAAAACACATTGTACTGATTGTCACATTGTCATTATACTACTTAATACAAGTTGAATAGATTCTTTGTGTCATGAAAGGTGGTTTATTGAAAGAAAACATCTGTGGATGCACTGCATAATTCCAGGGAGTAGTCTTTTGGAATTATGCAATGTGGCCTGGGTTTAGGAAAACATAGTGGCAGAATTGACAAATAACTAGTTGAAGAATTCCCCCTAGGATAAATGGAAAACATTGGTTTTAGATAGTAATATAGCTGAACCCCTTTGGAAAAATGAGGCTGTGAAGTCAGAAAGGGCTTGTTTGCTGGGGAAAAAATTGGACCCATTTATCCATGAGAAAATTTTTCTCACTTTTTTACTTTGTTTTGGCCTAAAGTCCTTGCCCCTTGGGGAATATACTAAAGTGAGCTTCTTTTTTTAAGGAATGGGAAACCTTTAGAAATCATTTGCAGATATCGACTATGTTAAACTTACAGGGAAACAGATCTGGAGTTAATTATGGCAATTTATGTATGTAGTCATATATTCTAGTATTTTCTGAACATTTTAATTTTATACAATTTTCTAATACTAAGACATGACTACGTATAGATTTGTATATTGAAACAGCAAAACAGAAGTCAAGATTTAAACAGAAATTAAGGGTAGTGGGAGTTGAATATTTTTAAATGATGCTTTGAAATTTATTCAGTGAACATAATTTGTTTTTGTTTTAAGGTCTTGTTGCTGTAGGAGAAAGAGCACAAAAGAGGTCTGGGAACTTCTCGGCTGCAATGAAAGATCTGTCAGGTGAGAGTGCGCTTTTGAGTTTTCTCTTGCCCCACCCTCTCCTTGAATTTATAATTTGTTGCCACAGATGTAGAAATAATTAGTAACTTTTTTTTCTTTCTCTGTAGGCAAACATCCTGTGTCTGCCTTGATGGAAATCTGTAATAAGAGAAGGTGGCAACCACCTGAATTTCTCTTGGTCCATGATAGTGGCCCTGATCATCGCAAACATTTTCTCTTTAGGGTAAATATGAATTTCTGCATTAATTGTATACAGTTATTAATTTGATGACTTAATGTTAAGAGGGTGAGGGATTAGCATTATATGATCACAGGATTAATGTGTTATGGGTTGGGAGTATGTTATATGTGGGTATAGTAGTGGAATTTTTAAACATTTAAATATGCTTTAATATGACCTGTTGATATTTTTTTTAAATGTTGGAGGGACAGAGGTGGGCAAAATCTGGTGAACAGTTTGTTGCCCTTTTACAGTGGAACCCGGGGAAATAATTTAGTTTTTATCAGGTTTTTTTTCCTCCTTCAGTTTGGAGACCTGCTCTTAATTTGCAGTCCCTTTTCTCAAATGATTTGCTTCTTTCTGGGTTGAGATTAGTTTGACTTACATAGTATGGGGTTTTAGATTTTTATAAAGTATTTTTCTAGCATTTAGTGAAAAAAAAATACAAACCTAATAAATATTAAAGTTTGATGCTGTTCCTTGTATGTTTTTCTTGAATAGGTATTGAGAAATGGAAGCCCTTACCAGCCCAATTGTATGTTTTTCTTGAATAGGTATTGATAAATGGAAGCGCTTACCAGCCCAGCTTTGCCAGCCCTAATAAGAAGCATGCTAAAGCCACAGCAGCTACTGTGGTTCTTCAAGCAATGGGCCTTGTACCAAAGGACCTCATGGCTAATGCCACTTGCTTCAGGAGTGCCTCACGTAGATAGATTGAGGTTTTATATTAATCATTTCAGATAATTTTACTCTGCATCAAAATGTATTTCCTCTTTAATGTTGTAAATATTTGGCAATTTAAGACATTGTGTAAAAAGCAATCTGTACAAACATCTCCAGGCTTTGATTTTTGTACCATGGAAATTGTATTTAACCATACAGGGTTTTGGTATGTTTATATTGTTTACCTTAGTGATGTATTTGTTTAAGTGGCTAACATCCAAACGATTGTTTGAAGGCATCCGTAATCTTCAGTGTGGAATGTTAAATAACGCTTTTATACTGTATTTTGTACTATGATGTAACTCCCCTTCCTTACGGCTAGGCTGCTGTAACACTTGCCTGTAATCAGTGAAGGGCTGTGCACCTTGTACTAGTTCACAATGGGTTCTGCTGGACAGATACTGGGCCAGTGTTATTGAGGTAATCAAGCAAGATCTGTTCCACAGGGCTAATGCCACCGTGTCCCCTTTAAAATTTTGTAGAGGCTATAAAAAGAAAGTGGTTTGTTGTGTGATGATCAGCACCAAGTCCTGCGTTTCTGTCAAAGCCACCTGGGCCATGAATGAGAAGGGAGTCAAAATGAAGTGTGACTAGAATTCTGCAGAGGCCAAGTACATTTAGTATGGCATTGAGTTGTGATATAGTTTTACTTTGATGTGCATTTTGAATTTCAGCTACACCTAGATAGACGTAAAATGATAATTAAAATGCTGTAACCAACTTATCTAATAAAATCGGCACCCAGCCACTATTTTGTTGACTATGAGAAAGTTTAAGTTTATGTTAATTTTTAGGGTCTGATAGAATATTTCATGTGTATTACAGTGGTATCCATATGCTATGTCTCTAAACTTTATTTTCAAAAGCTTAAGGCCCAAATATAAACTTCTCTGGAATAAATGTGGTGGTTTATTTTCTGAATTGTAAAGTGAACACATACTTCTTCACTACGTTACTTCTTTACCCAATGTTTTGATTTCTAAGTGCTTTTATTTAAGAAAGTTTGAATTATACACACACACACACACATACACACACACACACACACAAATGCCTACAAGAAAATAATAAATACTACCTTGTCACGACAGCTGAGCATACTTTACAACTCAATACTGTTCTATGTGGAATACAAAATACCCTTATCTGAGTTACCGTACATTAAAACAAACTTTTAAACAGGTAGGAACTAAACAACTAGGTGGTAGCAGCATTCAGCTCGGTAGCTGTGTCTACATTTGTTTTCTCCCTCTGTACAGCTAGAACTGGCTGGTAATCCTAAGTGAACTGTTAAAGATTTGCCCTGATGCTATTAGTCACAATGCCGTAACTGGTCCTAAGCCTCAATTTCCACCTGCAAGGAAACACTCAAGTTTTCTACCCATTTTTTAATCACGTTATATGGATCTAGAATTTTCATTCAAGTTATTTAAACTTCTTAAAAAGTTCATCTTCATATCTGACTAATCAAAATAGTAAAAACAATATGTTGATTTTAAAACCTTAATCCTTCTGCTTACTGCGTGTAATAAAAATTAAAAGGTTAATGTTTATAAACACTTGAATACTTAAAAAGTTACATTCCTGTTAACTTCCAAAGTGAACTTTAAAGCCAAAGGAATAAGGATCTTGAATTTCTTTGCTAGAAGGCTTTTTTCCTCAAAAGACTCCTGTTAGGCTTACTTTGGTGTTCAGGATCTCCAACTATAAATGTAGTCACTCATTTCCACATGCCGTAAAGATGATTTCCCCAGTGCTGGTGTTTGACTAAGTTGGTTCAGAGTCTTAGGGTGCAATCCACAGTTAGCAAGCTCCTCATGAACAGCCTCCTGTGGAAATTTGAATGCAGGTTAGTTAAAAGCACATCAGTCTTTGAACACTGAAGAGTTTAAATGGCAAACTGATAAAACAGACAATTTAAGAGTCTTTCATAAACTAAATAAAAAACTACGTATGTCCAAAGTTTTTAAGAGGCAAACATGGTTAAATAAACACCCACAATTTATAATAAAGGAGCCAGGCACTATTAAGTTTTGGATCTCAGAGGACAATGGAAAGAACTGGGAAGTTTCTTAGTCAATGTTGAATACATCAGCCTGAATTCGTAAAATTTATCTCACAAAAAACTCAGTCTTTATCCCTTCCTCTTAGTAACTAGTGATAATAGTAAGCAGTACAGTTTAATAACTTGAAACGCCATTTTGGCTTATAAATCACTTATTTCCTCCATCCAGCTTGAGGAAACGGCAGATGATCTGCTCACAGCAGTCTCACCTTATCTAGTACTTCATCCATTGGTGGGCAGATATTAAACACAGCAGTTGGCTCATGTGTATACAGTCCTGCAGAAAATGACCCACTCTGTGAAGATCTGAGGAGCATGGTCATGGAATGTAGAGAATGAGGCATGACAGGACCTGTAATTTCCAAACTAAATTGATCTTTGTATCCAGAAAGAGCTTGTGTCTTCACATTTACACTGCGTGCCTTCAAAAAAATTTAAAGAAAATCATGGTCACCATCTTTCAAGATTTTGTCCTTAGCTAAAATGTGTTCCATAACTTCTCTCATCTGGGTTTTCTTCTCTAATAGTTATGAAACAAAAGTAGTTCATAAGCCATCAAAAGAATGTTACACCAGTAAAAAATGTTTAGTAATTCTCAGCTTCCAGAATCCTCTTCTCCAAATTATGAGATTGTCAGTTTAAGTATTAGTTCTAGAGAACAGTTTCTTAATATGGTATTCTTTCTGACTTATGAGTATAGTTTCAATACAGAATATTGGGAAACTAAAAATTCAATTGTGTTACTACTATATTCAGTATACATTTTTTATTTACATGTGTAATTTTTTTCAATAATTCGGATAATAGTTATTTTCACTTATCCATGATCCAGTTTTTGAGACCTCCTGTAATTTTACGTAACATTCTTGGCTCTGTTCTTTTACTGGTTAAGAAATGAGACAAAATGAGATTAAACAACTTTTTCTTATGGCAATAATTCAAGTATAACATTTCATATAATTAATATATTTTCATTTAATTGCTCTGATAGAACTTTATACCAAGGAATTTTTTTACTGGGAGGAAAGCAAAAACAATTTGTACCATGTAGATATTAGGAGTTATTAAAAACACATCAAGAATTTATCCTATCAAAACAAAACGTATGACTTTAAAAGCTAGATATTAGTGTAGAATTTCCTTTGTTTTCTTTTTATTACCTTAAGCATTTGCATTGTGGCACCTCGGAAAGCTACTGGGGACAGGAGAGTTGGTGGAAGTCCTGCCTGTGGACCTGAGGTAGCAATTAAACTCTTAGAGTTGATCAAAAAATTTAGCAATGTAAAGGTGTTCAATCCCTTTACCAACACAACAGACTCAGGTCTGTGATCCATTTGTACTTCGTGTTTTTCTTTACGCCTGAAGATGACAATCAAGGAAACTGCAAATGCAAATCCCATGCCAATAGGAAAAGCAGTTATCTTGATCCTGAATCACCTGAAACCATTTTCCCCATTCCAAACTGGAACTGCTCTAGCTAATCCTCTTCACTGCAATTATAAGGCATCTGTTTAAATCAAAATGATTTCCTTTGACCATCTGAATTTGCTAGAAATTGATACCTAAAAAAACTAATTTCTTTTCTAGTCAAAAATATGTTCTATTCCCTCCCTACATTTAACCAAAATGGAACGTTTTCACTTAAAAAAAGTTAAATAATTATTTAGGGTTTATTGGTCCTTGGGGCTTTTTTCTTTTTTGTTTAAGGGTTTTTTTTTTTTTTTAGTGTCATGATGGAGAATCAGTTTTAATAGGATCTTAAAGATAATTTAAGATTATAGTCAAATAAAACTGCCACTAACTTAATTCAATGCTCACTAACTTAATTCAATGAAAATCAATTCCAGTTAACAGCAAATGAAAGGATACAACTTGATAGAAAGTACGTCTGGTTTTTTGATTCTATCTTGCACACCCATCTCCTCTAGCCAGGAAAAACTTTCTTCTTCATCCTCATCGCTGACTGCTTGCTCCCTAGGAAATTGCTACAGTCAGTTACGGTTCCCATTTCATAACGCTGTTTCCTCTATAAAACTATTGCACTGAACCCCTAAGTCACCATATGATGTGAAAGGTTCTCTTAATCACATACTCATGTCCCAAGCTTGTTTCAGATGCTTTCTTCTTCTCATGGCAATTTTCTTTTATTAAAGGCAGAGAAAATTCAATACCTACATGAGAAAAGAAAAATGTAACTGAGTTTTCTTCGATATAATCTAAAAGAATTCAATAGGTGTGCCCAACTTGTAGAGTATGATATCCGAAAATAAGGTTTTACACTTGAACGGTTAAGACAGTACTTTTCAAGCTTTTTTGACAGCAGCTCACAACACACACATCCTTGAAACAAAAGGTTCATGAAACAACACGTACTCTCACTACATCTGGTACTCCTCCATCAAGTATATTCTACTCTATTTCATTTATTTTAAACCATGCTGAATAAGCCCACTACATAGATTTCATGATCCACTAATGGGTTGACCCAGCCTTAAAATGATTAAAAGGTGGTAGGTTAATTTGTACTGCAAAAGAATTTCTACAGAACATATCCAGATTGAGACTTTTCAGTTCAATATATGTTTAGAGATCAGAGAAGGGAACACCACTAACATAAAGCCATGTGCAGTGGACTGCTTAATTACATGCTGGAGAAAAATAAAAAATGAAGAAATAAAGTAATTAATTAGATAAAACTGGTAAAAGAAAATTCAAAAGACAGTTCAAATTTTAGCTTTTAAGGAAACTTTACCGTATGGTGTGTGGTATTCTCACTTAAACCTGTAGTTTTACCTTCGTTTTTCATAGCTTCTCTTATACCTCTGGTCGTAGGAGATACGAGAGCTGTGATCACATCATTTCCAGCTAATCCTGCTGCACGGAACAGGACGGTAAACTGATAGGTACAAACGTAGAAAAAGGGGCAAAGTCTTGTCTTCAGCAGATTATATAGAGAAGTAAAGCTCACAGACCTATGAAGCAAAAAAGTTTTCTTTAGGTACCATTAAACACTTAACTCAACACCTACTATTTAATCTTGTATAGTTTAATTTGATACTCACCTGATTTAAAACACAAATATTACAGATAATGGTTTGAATTTTTGCCATGACATACAACCTGGCTTTTTAAAGAACTGAAATTGGTCATGGGACTCATTGATGACTTCTAAATAATAAATAGTGTTCACCATTTAAACACTAGCCATTTTTCTTTCAACAAAACTTACTTAATAAGTGGTTGCTGACTTTCAATAAGCAGCTTCTACTGATGAGAAAGAAAGCAGCCACTGATAAGAAGTAACATTTAAGATTATGTCTCTAAAATAGATAAACAAGTTTATACTGTATATAGCACGGGGAACTATATTCACTATCTTATAGTAACTTACAGTGAAAAAGAATAAGAAAACAAATACATGTATATTCATGTATGACTAAAGCATTATGCTGTTCACCAAAAATTGACAAAACATTGTAAACTGACTATACTTCAATAAAAAAATATATATACAAGAAAAAAAACTTAGAAAGTAATGCTGAAGTGGAATACTATTCAGCAATAAAAAGAAACCTAATTATACATGCTACCATATGGATGAGCTTCAGAACCTTTATGCTAAGGGAAAGAACTCAGATCACCACATTTATATACAATGTCTAGAAAAGGCAAATCTATTGATACAGAAATAAATCAGTGGTCATCTGGGGCTGGGAGTGGGATCAGGAATTAATGCAAATGGGCATGAGAAAACTTTCCGGGATGAGGTAAATGATCTAAAACTTAGCAATGGTTGTACAGCGATATAAAGTTACTAAAAAGCATTTAATTGTACACTTAGAAGAGTCTGTGTACATTAAGTTATTCTTCAATAAAGAGGTTTTCTGTATGTTAAAAAAATTATGTCTCTATATATTTATCGAACACATATATATTCCACAACTGCATAAAGAGTGAATAAGAGCTAAAAAAGTAAACAATTTAAATCTTGGTTATTAACAGTTTAAATAATTCAGAAGGACATAGAAATCCTTCTACCACTTTACATTTCCACATCATAAAATAAGGTGAGAATACTGCTAAAATGAAAACTCACTACTGGGTTGTACAAGTTTTTACTAATCTTACCAGTCACTCATTAAATTGTGTTGCAGGGTTTCATCATACGACCATGGGTTTGTCTTTCCAGCCATTCTTCTGTCCGCTCCAATACGAGGGAACAGTGGTAGCCAAGAAAAGGCAGGGTGGAGCCAATAGATAAGGCTCTGCTGGAAGGCACAACGGAGCTCAGTGCAGAGTTTGGGATCCTAAAATCCAGACAAAACGTTGGACAGTTTTTGCCCCATTAAAAGTAGAGAATTTAATTAAAAAAACACTGAATATACTAAACACATTCTCAGAATCTTTACTGCTTCCTATAGGAAAGTGTTAGTAACTGTTACAGGGGCTAAAATGTAGTTTATTATTGTTTAGGAAAACCTTATCTGCCAGCAATTACAATCTGTTAAACCACATATTAGAAGGAACACTCAGACACAGATGGGAACATTCGCCTGTCTCTACCACCCTTGCGAACAGTAACTATCTCTACCACGAGAGCAGGGGTGTGTGTGGGGATGCATGTGTAGGAAACACTATGTTCAACCTCCTCCCCTCACAAACGGTTCCAAAAGTAGCCAGTAAAAATGATGTGAATCACAAATCATCCAGATCTATTTGTCGAAAAAGACAGGCCTCTTTTAGGTAATCTCTTATAACCTGGTTTGAGTTGATGAGCGCCTTGAAAGTAATGCAATTACATTTCTCTAAAATCATTCCAGAACTCATTATTAACTCAACTGAATTTAAAACAGACCATCACCCTAATGGCAAGAATTAGTGCATTTAAAAAACAGAGTATATATTACGTGAAAAAAATCAGTAAAATAACCAATCTGCCTTGGCAATCCTACTCAACTGCTTTTCATTTCTTTTCCTTATATTTTCTTTCTCAAAAAGCCTTAGAAAAGAATGATTAGTTCAAACAATTCCTCCATGCAACACTGACTTATTCTCAGGATAGCTCTCTAAATTTAATGAGTAGTTACTGAATCTGATTTTAAAAACTGTATGAAAGTATCATTTGGGAAATTAAAAATTTTCCCAACTTTCTGTGTTTTAAATGTCAGCAGAAAAACTTAATGGAACTATCTCTGATATTCTGCAGAGAAGTACATTTTACACTTAATTTGTTAGCTTAAAACATAGCTATTTGCTTTGAGAATTACCTGTATACTTTGAGGCAAAGTAACTTCTGTTGCCCTACAATGCTGGATGACACCTTGAGCCTCTTCCTGTGCTTTCAGATGATCTGCCCAGGTAAAGGGCTGAGAAGAGGTGAAAAGGAGTCGAGTTTTAAGACTCCAGTCCACAGGTAACTCAGTACTTTCTGAGGACGGAATATCAGGTTTGGAGACTGATATGTGAGGAGTCTTTTAGAAAACAAAGAACACAAAAATTAGTAGAGTACCAAGAAAAAAACCCTTCAATATACAGAATTCATCAATTAACACTCATGATCACTGAAATTTCAAAATGCCATCAATTGTATAATAAATAACATTGAAAATATATACCCACTGTGGAAAAAGTCCAGAAAGAGCTACACTAAACTTCACAGTGATTATCTCTGGAAAGCGTAAATTGTTGTTGGTGGGGGTGGGTGGTGAAGGGCAGTTTTCACTTTTGAGTTTATTATGGTTCTATACAGTTTAGTTATAAGAGATACACTATTTTCATGATAATTAAAAAAAATCTACTACTGATACTACTAAAGCACAAATCTTCCAAGTATTTTTTTTTAAGAGTACCCTTTAAGCCTCTAAAACTCTGGACCCAGGGCTAAGCTGTTCTTGTAGGTAACTTATGTTGGGCTCTTAAAGGTCATATTTAAGAAGCATATACTGATCTCAAAACTTCCTCCCAAACTATTTTGCTGTTCTTTCAATTCAGTCTTCTCCCCATTACAATGATTCTTTTGGATGACATTATAAAAAAGTAACAGGGAAGGGGAATTCCAACAGAACCCATGAAGGCCATTTATTTGCATGGAAGGAAGACCCTGCTCCCATTAGGACAAACTACGCTTTCCTTGAACTGTCACCAAAGAAGTAGCTGAAGGATGGAACCAAGAAGATATGCTCTGTGTGTGATGGTGGTGGTAGTGAGGTTCAGCGATAGGCCAAAACTTGTGGAGATCATCTGGGGATTTGAAGATTCAGTGAAGGATTAAGTTCAAAAAGCAGCTAAGCCTGGAGGGGTTGGCTCTGAGTGACAAGCTGGAGTTGTCACCACCCACAGAAGAGTATCAGAAACTTTTGGGGGTGGAAGGAAAACGCACATCTACACCCATTTTAGCAGCGCTAAATTATAAACATTATACACATTATAAACATTACTACAACATACCAAATCCTTTATCACTCAGGACTCTCTGAAACTACTTTCCAAGTAAAATGCTTCTGAGAAGTACGAATTTATAAGAATATACATTCTAATGACACTTAAAAAGTATTACCTGGAGTAGTTCAGTAATGGCTGTTCTTTCAGGAAACTTCTCTTCCCATAGTAAATCATTTTCTTGATTAGAATCTAAAAACTGAGGTTAAAAACAAAGGTCCTTTTACATTATAAATGACACTGGAGTTTGCTTTAAACACAGGGACGCACTGGCATACAAGTTTCTCAGTAAATGCCAAGTGCAGGAATTCACACGAGCCCAAATCGGGACATCAGAGTGTTTCACTACATTTTTGCGTCTGGACTTCGCTATCAAAATGGAGGGGGAAAAGGGCAGGTGATGTGTGCAGCTAACAATAACTCAATAATCAATAATCTCAATTCAAAAGACCCTGAAGGTTTTGGGTAAGACAAATACTAGCAAATTCTGACCCCACGAATCCTCAGCATCCTTCCAATTTTGAGCGCGTGAGAAGGGAAGCAATGTAGCACGCAGGGAAGAGGGTCTTGTAATCTTCCCAGCAAACCATGGGCTTGCCAGGAGTAGTCGAGCAATCTTCCCACCGATCTCGAATGCCACACCAGAGGGCTGGAGCCCAGAGTCCCCGGGCCAGACCGCGGGTCCTTTCCTCAGGACCCGCCGACGCCCGGCCAGCCCCGCACGTCCGGCGGCAGCTCGCGGGGCACATTCACGCCAGCCCGACCTCTCGGAGCAGCCACCCCCGGAGCTCAGGACTCCCAGGCGCTGTGGGCGGCTTCAACTTCGCGCCCATTTCCCTCCTGGAAACGTGAGAACTTGCCATCCCCACTGCACAACCCAGTGGACCCATGAACCACAAGAGCCCCTCGGCTCCCGGGCACAAAGACACTCACCGAGCCCGGCGCC